CCCCCCCCTTCCCGGGGCCCAGCTAGCCCATCATCGGCAGTCTCCCCCACCCCCCACCCCCAGCCTCTTAACTTGACCCCACGGAACCATTCATTCATTCATCTCATTCATTCTGCAAGAGGGTATTAAGATCCTGCTATGAGCCAGGCCAGGCACTGTGCGAGGTCCCAGGGGTACAAGGACTAGACCCAGTCTCTCTCCACACACGCCTCTGCCCCGCCCTCAAGCTGCCTTACATTCTGGGCACAGACAGGAAACCTACAAAGTAGCTAATGTATGTCACAAAGATGTTACAAAGTAGCATGGATGGTAATGGAATGGGAACGGCCTTTTGTGGGGAATGGCGCTGGAGCTGAGTCAGAGGGCAGGAGGGAGGGCATCCCAGGCGGGAGGTACAGCCAGGGCAGGAGCTGGCAGCCAGTGTTCTGGGAGCAGTAAGTTGGCCAGTTTGGCTGGAGGGCAGTAGGTTGATGCCACATTTCCCAGGCCTTTAAATACCAAACCGAAAAGTCGAGATTTTCTCCTCGAATCCACAGGGAGTGCCTGGAGACTAGAGCAGGGGGTGAGTGATCTGAGCTGTACTCTAGGAAAATCCAGATGTCAGCAGCAGGGCAGAGGATGGATTGGAGAGGGGAAAGGAAGGGAAGAAAGGAGGACAGCTGTCCTGGAGGCAGGAGTGAAGAGGCTCTTACCGAGGATGTGAGGATTCCAGGGCCCTGGGCCCTAGCCCCCCAGCTCCTCCCCTGGCCAGTGGGAATCCTCCACCTCCTGTCTGAAGCCCCCCAGTGAAGGGACCCTTTGCCTCGGAGGCAGCTCTGCATTCTCCTTGGCGAGCCTGTTCGTGGAGCCTGAATCAGGCTTCCCAAAGCTCTTCTGAGCCTTTCCTCTCGGGCTCCCTCCTCCTGCCTGACCTTAACCGCTCTCCATCCCCCTCAGACGTCCTTTTTCCGGGCTAAATGTCCCCAGTCCTATAGCTAGTCTTCCTGGAGCATGACCTGGAGAGTCTCCAGCATCCTGGTTGCCCCAAATTGGGATCTCCTGTGGTTTATTATTATCTTCTTAAATGGGACCCTCTGGAAGGGAACACGATACTCCAGATCCAGCCTTGTCCAGATGAGCAGAGCACATGGCTTATCACCTCCTCCTTCCTGGTCCCTGGCGCTCCCCACAAAGCCCAGGTGTGTTTTGGCCACCCCCTCCTTCTGTTGATTTCCATTGGGCTTACAGTTCAGTAACCTCCTGGGATCGTTTTCTGACAAACTGCCCCATAATCACCACCCCTCCGATCTTGTGCTTGTCACCTTGGCTGTAGCTAAGGTGATGATTTTCCTTTATCTCTATTGAGTTCTTCTTAACATACGCCCGATTTGTGAGCCTGCCAGAATCTTTTGGATTCCCGTGGGCCACCCATCCCTCCTCTCTCTGTGTGGGTCTCCGAGTTTGAGGAGCATGGCATCCACGTTATTCGAGTCATAGATGAAATAGCCTGGAGCCCCAGGCAGATCCCTGGAGCACTCCACTGGAGACTTTTTGTTGAACTATAAACAACCACTTTTTAAAAATTAATTTATTTGGATTTATCAACAATCACTTCCATAAGCTTTTGAGTTTTAAATTTTTCTCCCCCTCTCTCTCCCCTCCCTTTCCAAGACTGCACGCAATCTGATATAGGTGTATGTACATATACATTGCTATTATGTGGGACTGAGACCACTACTCAAATTCAAAAGACTTAGGTACCTTGAAAGCAGAAAGGAGTTTATTGCTTTCTCATGAGAAAGGGTACCGCCCCTGGTCACCCTAATGGCGCCGGCCAGGGAGGAAGCCTACATACAGAAAGCCAGGCTTATTTATACCCTAACTCGAGTTCCTCCTTCATAACCCCCTTCCTTCTCCTTAGCCCATTGGCTGGGCACAGAAATCTTCCCCAGCGACAGAATTACACAAGTTTGCCTGGAGACAAGAAAAGGGGGGAAGTCTTGCAGTTTAGGTTGGGGGGGTGGGGTGTGGCTATTCTATTCTTTCTTGTGCTTAAAAACAGGGTCTGGGGGGTTTTGACAAAGTCAGAAGGGAGTGTGTTTCAACAGTACATTTAGAAGGCCATCTACAACAGGTGCCTCCAATTTCTCTCCTCCCACTCTTCTTACTATCTGGCTTCTGACCTTCTCTCTCTCCAGATGACCAGTGATCTCCTATTGCTGCCCTTTGTGAGACCTATTAGCAAAAACTATTAACCCTTTGAGGAGGCTTCACTTTTGAGAGATCATCTCTCACACTATTAAACATTTTCACATTAGTTATGTTGTAAGGAGGAATTAGAACCAATAGGAGGAACCACAAGAAAGAGGAAACAAAACAAAACAGAAGAAAAAAATAGCAAATAGTCTGCTTCGATCTGCATTCAAACTCCATAGTTCTTTCTCTGGATGTGGAGAGCATTTTCCATCACAAGGCCTCTGGAGATGTCTTAGATCCTTGTATTGCCAGGAAGGGTTAAGTTTATCAATATCAGTCATCACACAACGTGGCCGTTATTATGTACAACGTTCTCCTGGTTCTGCTCACTTCACTCAGCATCAGATCATACAAGTCTTTCCAGGTTTTTCTGAAGTCAGCCTGTTCATCATTTCTTATAGCACAATAGTATTCCATTACATTCATTTACCACAACTTGCTCAGCCATTCCCCAATTGATGGGCATTCTCTCAATTTCCAATTCTTTGCCACCACAAAAAGAGCTGCTATGAATATTTTGGTACATGTGAGTCCTTTTCCCATGTGTATGATCTCTTTGGGATATGGCCCTAGAAGTGCTATTGCTGGGTCAAAGGGTGTGCACATTTTTATAGCCCTTTGGGCATAGTTCCAAATTGCTCTCCAAAATGGCTGGATCATTTCACAACTCCACTAACGATGTATTAGTATTTCAATTTTCCCACATCTTCTCCCACACTTATCATTTTCCTGTTTCACCATGTTGGCCACTGTGATGGGTGGGATGTGGAACCTCCGAGTTTAAATAGCCACTTTTTGTGTCCCATCATCCAGCCAGCTCTGAAGTCATCTGACTGTAGTATCCCCTCCTCTCCATCTTTGCTGCCAAAATATTGTGGGCGATTTCACCTGATGCTTCATAAGCTGGAGTCACAGCAGTCTCTCCATCTACCATTTTAGTAATTTTGCCCAAAAAGGAAATGAGGTTATTCCAGAATGACCATTTTCTTTTGTAAGTCTTGGCAATCCGATCACTAGCCCTCTTCTCCCCCAGACGCCTTCTGCCCCACTTTAAAAAAAAAAAGATCCTTGTACCAAATATGCAGAGTCAAACAAAATCCATCTGCAGTTGGCTGTGTCTGGAAATGTCCATCATGTGACCCCGCTGGAGTCCATCGCCCATGCCCGGAGGTCATTCTCACACTTCCTCATCAGTTTTCGGGAATTGTCATTGCATCGATCAGAATTCTTAAGTCTTTCAGAGTTGATTCTCTTTACAAAATTGTTGTTATTGTAGAAATTGTTCTCCAGGTTCTCCCTTTATTCTGTTCGGTTTTGTTTCTTCATGCAGTTCTTCCCCGTTTCTCTGAAACTCTTCCTTTAGGCATTTCTGATGCCACATTAATATTCCATTATATTTGTGTATCATAATTTGTTGAGCCATTCCTCAGTTGATGGGTATCCCTTTGATTTCCACTTCTTTACTGTAATGAAAAGCTATGAAATGTTTTTGTACCTGTGGATCCTTTTCCTCTTTTTTTGATCTTCTTGGGGTCTAATAGTGCGGGTCAGGGGTAGGCACAACTTAATGACTTTGGGGGACATATTTCAAACTGCTTTCCAGAATGGCCAGACCCATTCCCAGCTCCAACACCACCATCAAGTGCCTGTTTTTCCCCAGCCCCTCCACCATTTATCATTTTCCCTTTCAGTCATCTTTGCCAATCTGATGGGTATGAAGTAGAACATCACCTTTTTTAAAAATTGCATTTCTCTAATTAAGAGTGATTTGGAGCATTTTTGCACATGTCTGTTGATGGCTTGGTTTTCTTCCTTGCGAATGGCCTCTTCAAATCCTTTGAAAGGGAAGGAAAAAGGAAGAGAATCAGCTTTTGTATGGCATCTGCTATATTCCAGACACTGTGCTAAGTGCTTTACAAATATTATTTCACTTGATCTCTTTACCTATTTTTTTTCATAGCAATTGGAATCCATTCCCCTGTCTTTCATGGATATCAGACTGTGACATGTTCGTGATGGAACTGTATTAACTCTTTGTAACCCCCATCATTCCACTTTTGAGATAGCCATCCCTTTAGTGAGCTATTCTAGAGATTTTTTAGGAATCAAAGTCAAGCTCCTGGCTTATCATTCTCAGATTCTGTTCTCTTCTCTCTTTTTTTTTTTTTTAAATCATGACAACATTCACCCCCTCTGGTCTTGCAGACCCATTTCCACCAGCTTTCAGATGTTACTGAGAGAGGCTTGGCCACCACAGCTGCCAGATCTCTCAGGACTCAAGGATGGAGTTCCTCTGGCCCACGTGGCTTGAGTTCATCAAAGGCAGATTTTTCCTTGTTGATCATGAGCCTTACTCCCTGTCAGCCATTTGGGACCTTTTGTTTCCAGAGCCAAGGTCATTCTCCTTGGCAGATAAAATGAGCACTTAGAAGCTAACGTCGTCCTAGCTGCCCCAAGCAAAGCACCCTTTCCCATTTCTTCTTTGATCCTTCTCCCAATATAACTAAAGGAGCCCTTTAGTGTTCTTACCTCCCCCTGAACTTTAGCATTTTTTTCATGTTCTTTTTTGCAAGAAAATCAGGATTAAATGACTTGCCCAGGGTCACACAGCTAGTAACTGTCAAGTGTCTGGTCTGAGGCTGGATTTGAACTCAGATCCTCCTGACTCCAGGACTGGTGCTCTATCCACAGTACCACCTAGCTGCCCCTGAGCCTTAAATATTCTTGACACTTGATACAGTATCAGATACAGATTTTTTTTTTTAAGTGAGGCAATTGGGGTTAAGTGACTTACCCAGAGTCACACAGGTAGGAAGTATTATGTGTCTGAGGGCACATTTGAACTCAGGTCCTCCTGACTGCAGGGCCGGTGCTCTATCCACTGCGCCACCTAGTTGCCCCCAGATATAGATTCTTGATACAGGACTTTGTTATATTCTTACAGTCATTCTGTCATCTGACCTTATTCTTGTACATTTCTTCTAAGAATCTAGGTTGGGTGGTGAGCTCCCTTTGTAAACAAGTCTTGTTTTTCTCCTCATTGGAATGTCCCATTCATATCTGAGTGTTTTAGGCCTTACTGGCCTTCTCTTGAACCATTTTGAATGTGCTTTCCTGAAATCTAGGCATTCATTCCAGGCTATACCTGACATTCCTCTCCTCAGTCACAGGCTTTAAGATAGAATGGTTACTTTGCCCTGGGGTTCCATCATTTTCTCCCCAGTGACTAGTTCCCCCTATTAGTGGGAATCACATTCAGAAGAGTATTTTTCTTTGAAGAGGATGAAATTATCACTAAAGCAAGTCAAGAACTTATCAGTATCTGATCTCCTTTTGAGAGAGAGACAGACAGACAGACAAAGAAAGAGAGAGAGAGCTCTTTAGCAGATGTAAGAATCTTGGCAGTCCCCCATCACTGCTGTATCTCATCTTGCCTGGCTTGTGACCAGTTTCCCCAAGCCATTCATCTAACTTCTCCTTCTGTCCAGATGGTGTGTAGTACATATACTCCAATGACAACATCTCCTCTGTTTTTCCCTCTGGTGACCTTCACCCAAACACTCCATCACCCATCTCCACTCTGGTCTGCATGAGTATAGCTTCTTAACATCCTGGGCTACCTATATCTTCTTAGCAAAAGAAATTGCATAACAGAAGCTCATTTCTCATTTCTTTCTCATTCTTCATATGTTGAAGTGTTTCTATTTAGTGACCATTAAGTTTGTTCACAAGAAATTAGTTAAAACACCTACCCAGTGCTACTCTTTTGACCTATTCTGTTTCTTTTGGAGGAGTAACACTCATCCAGTCATATCCCAGCTATGGCTTTCTCTTATTCCTCAGGGTCACGGTGAGAGGTAGGAAGACACGTTTGTTTCTTGAGTGGTACTTCTAATTACTCCCACTAACATCAGCATTCTAGAGCTTAGGATCTGAGCACTATGCAGAAGAATAAGCAATACATGGCGACTGATTGGCTCTGAGGGATGAATAGTGAGGAGTCCCAACCTAGGTGGGGAACTGGGGTGCCCAGGAGGATGGTGGTGCCAGTTTGGAAGAGGGGTAGATTTGTGGGAAAAGTCAACAAGTAAGTGTGCATTTATTAAGCTGCTATGAGTTGCCAGGCACTGTCAAGCGCTTGATATACAAAGAAAGAAGAAACCCATTCCCTGTCCTAAAAGAGCTCTCAGTCTGACGGAGGAGACAACGTGCAAACAGGATATTGGAGAGAATAACAGAGGGGAGACACAAGGTGGAGGAGGACCAGGGAGGGCTCCTTGCAGGAAGTCAGGGCTCAGCTGAGATGTGAAGGAAGCCAGGAAGCCGCAACGAATGGAGGGAGAGCTCTAGACATGGGAGATCGGTGAAAATGCCCAGAGTGGGAAGATGGCCTATTTGAGACACAGCAGATTGTGCAGAAGGGACGGGGGTGAGCATCTATATGGTGTGGGGCTAAGCATTTTACAAATATCTCATTTGATCCTTCTTAGTCCTATTTTACAGTTGAGGAAACTAAGGCAAAAAGGGTTAGGTGACCTGCCCAGGGTCTTCCAGCTAATAAGTGTCCGAGGCCGGATTTGAACTCAGATCTTTCTGACTCCAGGCCCAGCGCCCTATCCACTGAGCCACGTTGCTGCCTCTACATAGGGAAGAGCAAGGTGGAAGAAGACTGGAAAGGTGGGGGTAGGGCTCTAAAAACCAAACATTTTCCATCTGATCCTGGAGGCTATAGGGAGCCACTTTGGTTTACTGAGGAGGAGAGGTAACATGATGGGACCTGCATTTTAGGAAAATCCCTTTGGTGGCAGAAGGGAGGATGGACTGGGGAGTTTGGAGAGAGCCCCGAGGCAGGCCGACCCCCCCAACAGCTCAGTCCCACAGACTAGGCGGGAAGGGATGAGGGCCTGCACCAGGGTGGGGGCAGGGTCAGAGAGAAGGGGGTGGATTGGGAGGCAGAGAGGTGAAATAAACAGACCTTGGCCAGGCCTTGGATACGGGGGTGACAAGGAGCGCTGAGTCCTGGATGTCACCTAGTTTTCAAGCCTGAGGGCCCGAGAGGGTGAGGGTGTTCTCTACAGTAATATAGGGGAAAAGGCTGAGGAGGAAAGATAATGAGTTGGGTCTGGGGCTCGTTGAGTTGAGATGTCGGAGACTTCCTTCCGGTCCAGGTGTCCGCTAGGCGGTCAGAGATGGGAGATCGAGGGTCAGCCGAGAGGTTTGGGCTGGATCCGTAGACCTGGGAACCCTGGGCATCTCTAGCTGGTAATTGAATCCATGGGAGCAGATGAGATCACTGAGTGAGGTCATAGAGCGGGGAAGATGAGTCCTGCTTTGGATGTGTCGAATTCGATGCCCACGGGCCATGCGGCCAGAGTCGGCCATCCAGGGCTGACAATCAGGAAAGAGAGGGAGGCTAGCCTGAGGTCTTGGGGACACTGGCCTAGGGATGATTGCTGAACCTTTGAGAGCTGATGAGGATGCCCAGAGAGAGAGCCGGGGAAGGGGCGCCATGGACAGAGCCGTGAGGCGTGTACGGGCCACAGGCGGGGCCTGGGATGTGGACGGTGACTCAGCAGAGGAGACTCAGCAGAGGAGACTCAGGCAGGAGAACCAGCTCAGCCCTTCATGCAGCAGAAGGGAGGAAAGAGGAACCTTTCCCTGCAGATTGCCACTCCTCTGTTGCCCTCCTCCTCAGCAGTGCGGCCGTCCCCTCCCCCCCAGGGCTCCCAGCGTTCCCACGAGGTGCTCCCTTCCCTTCCTCATTGGCTCACCCCATCTTCCTCAGGTCTCTGCTGGGCCCCTCCCTCTCCTCTCAATGTCCACACCGCGTCGTCGCTCCCTCCGGTTCTGCTCAGGGTCCCTCCGGAACCTCATCCGCTGCTGGCTTCCCATCAGCCCTTCCCCACCCCCCTCCCTCAGACTTTGACTCAGTGTCTCCACCAGCTCCTGCCCGGCGCCCCAGTTCACCAGCCACTCCCCTTCACATTTTTGCATTCGATTTATTTTCGATGAACAAAAATGTGTTTTCTCTCCCTGGACCCTTGCCCCTCCCTCCCACCATGCCCTGCACATCCGGGTGCCTCCCAAAGCCCTCCCGCAGTGTTCCTGGCTCCCAGAAACCTCCCCAGCACTTAGCACGGTGCCTGGCGTGTAGTAGGTGCTTCATGAAAGCTGGAGGACTGGCTGATCTGCACCCTGGGTATTCCCACCGGCCCATTTGCCTCAGTGGCCCCTCAGGATCCTATTGCCCAGTGTTGCACCGGACCCGTCACCAGAGGCTCCCTCAATAGGTGTCCTCACCGGCCCCAGCCCCGCCCTTCCAGGTCCTCACTGGCCTTCTCCTCCCCACCAGCGAGAAGCTGTGTCTCTTTCTTTGTGCCCCTGACTTCTGCCCCTTTATTCTCAGGATGGGGTGAAGGACACAGAGAACCGCGTGGCCCTCCACGCCCTGACTCGGCCCCCTGCCCTCCTGCTCCTGGCCGCTGCCAGCAGTGGTCTCCGCTTTGTCCTGGCCTCCTTCGCCCTGGCCCTGCTTTTGCCCGTTGCCTTAGCTGTGGCTGCCCTCAAGCTGATGGTGCGGATGCGGTGGGGTTCGCTCCCCTCGGACTCTGGCCTGGGAGGCCCCTGGGTGGCCGTGTGGGGAACTGATGATGTGTGTGGGGTCCTGGCCCTGAGGCCTGGCCCCAGCGGAAGCAGCCTGTCTGTAGCTCGCCTGGCCGTGGCCCGCTGGCACCGTCGACGTGGCGTGGGCACGAAGCTGCTGGCCTTTGCCGAGGCTCAGGCCCGGGCATGGGCCCGCCAGGCGGGGGGCCCTCGAGCCAAGCTCGTGGTCCCTGCTCCAGTGGGTGCCCGAGGGGCCACTGCCCTCCTGGAGGGGCGAGGCTACCATCCCGAGGGCGGTTGGGGCTGGATGGGACACACCTTTGTGAGGGAGTTCACGAAAGAATTCTGATGCCCACTGTGTCCCCTCCGCCACCTGGCCTTGGAAGCAGGGGACACGGAGGACATCTGCCTGCTTTCACGTCTCAGCTCTGGCTCTGGCCCAGTCCGTGACCCTGGGCCTGGCCCTTCTTCCCTCTGGGTCTCACTTCTAGGGAATGGAGGAAAGGACATTTGCGGTGCTCGCCTCACAGGATTAAACATGGGGAATCCCCGTTGGCCCAACCTCAGACTGCTCCCGTTTTGTACCAGTGACTCTCAGATGATCCCCCCTGCCCTCTGGGGGGGTCCTCAGGCAGTTGGCCCCCTTCCTTCTCCCTGCACCTCCAGCCGCCCTCGGGTGGCTCTGCCCGCTGGCCCCCCCGACCGGGCCTCTTCACCTTCCCTGCGCACCCTCAGGTGGTTCTGTGCCCAGATCTCCCGAGGTTCTCGTCCCCTTTCCTCCCAGAAGTCCCTTTTCAGGTGGCCCCTCAGACATCCTTCCCCCAGACTCACTGAAGGTCCCTGTGGACCTGGGATCTCCTGCCCCTCCCCCTCAGCTGACCTTCAGCCCGTTTGGGCCCCTCTGAGCAAGGGGAGCAAGCCTCAGAGCTCCCTGACCCCCGAGTCCTTGACCAAGGGCCCTCAGTGATCTCCCCCTTTTCTGGGGACCCTCCAGTGGGGTTGGACTCCCTTCTCCTTGGATGCCTGGCCAACTCCCCTCTGCTTTGAGGACCCACACAGTGACTTCCCCCTCTCCTGCTGCCCGCGGGGGTCCCCCACACCTTGAGATGACCCTCCCTCTCTGCTTTGGGTTCTTCTCTTTCCTCCCATCCCTCCTTTCCCCTCACATCTGTTTTTATACCCACTGTTAATAAACTCTGAAACTCCCGCCTGCCTGCCTGCCTCCCACCCCCTCTGATGCCTTTTCCAGGCCCACCAGCCCCCTTTCCAAGGCCTGTCTGGCCCTGGAGCCGCATTAATATTGGGGGAGGTGGAGGCTGGAGGGAGGAAGGGAGGTCTGAGCCACTGCTGCCCCTCACTCCCCCCAGGCCCCAGGCCCCAGGCAGGCAGGGATGAGCTCAGGCTGCAGGGCCCATCCCCTGCCAACCTTGATGACTCACGCTCCCCATTAGCACATTTTTTCCACCCCACATCTGCCTGCGGAGCTTGGGGGCCAAGTGTCTGCCCCCGCCCCACACCCCTTTCTCCCCTTCCAGCCCCGGGCTGGGCCAAGCCACTCTCTCTCCGCCCCTTTGCTCCTGGGGCTATGTCAGGGCAGCTTGGCCTCCCCCTGCCTCCGGACAAGCGGGCCGTAGAGAAGGACCTGCGGCTTGCGTCTTACTGCCCACCCTCCAATCCAGCAGTTCTTTCTCCTGTCCGACAAATGGCTCTTGGCTGGATGCTGAGCCCCGTGGTTTGGACCGTTATCCAGACATCCAGATGGGCCCCTCTCCCCCAGTAGCAGTGGATGGTGTTAGGGCAGGGCAGCCAGTCTGCTGTGGGAGGTAGTGATAAAGCCCCAGAGAGGCCTGGACATGAGCAGAGACCTTGAGAGATAGGCAATAGAGACACCCAGAGCGAAGGACATACACAGAGAAACAATGGGGACCCCAAGAGAAGAGACGGGCACACTGAGGCAGAGCCCGAGGGCCAGGGGCTGCTCCAGCCCCTCGGTCATCAGCCCCTCTGGCGGGTCTCCCGGCCCAGCGCCCAGAGTGTCTGGGGCCAGCCTCCAGTGGGTGTTTACAGATCTGACCCCCCCGTTCCCCCACGCCTCCTCCTCAGCCCCCTCCTGGTCCCCCGCCGCCTCCTCCAGTGTTCTCCTCTCTTCCTGGTGCCGGCGTGTCCCCAGCCCCCGCCCGCCTGCCCGCCCCTCTTCAGTCCAGGGCGCTGCCGGCGCTTCCCCTCAGCTTTCGCCTCCTGCACCTCCTCCGCGTTCTCCTCATCGCCCTTATCTGCTCTCCCCCCTGCCCCACCCCCAGCTCCCCCAGCCTGGGTCCTAGGGGCTCGCTCTGCAGAGATGAGGGTCCTGGCCTGCCTCCTTGGTGAGTGACCGCAGAGCCCCAGAGAGGTCTCTGCCCCCAGCCCCTGCCCCCTGCTGACCCCAGCTCCCGGGCATCTGGGAGTTCTCACTTCGCTCTTTCAGGGACATGGAAGTCCTGGCCCTCAGCATACACTTTGCCCTTCTGGCTACTCCCCACAGCCCTAGACGTTCAGTTTCCATTAGTCTCAGAGACTCAGGATTCAGCAGCCTGCCACCGTCCAAGAGACTTCCAGACATCTGGTCGCCCACCATCTCCAGGATCCAGGGATAGGGTTCCCCGTTCCCTGCTCCCTCCTCCAGAGCCCAGTCAGCTGCAGCCTCGTTCCCCTGCATCGTCCAGGGCCTATCCCCTTCAGGGGTCCGAAAGTCGAGGTTCTCCTGGAAGCCAGGCTGCAGGTCCCTAGCTCTGTCTGAACTGTTCCCAGAGGAACCGGGACTCCATTTCCTCTGGTCAGAAATCCAGGGGTCAGGTCCTTCCCACTGGGTTCAGAGATCCAGGCATCCAGTCCCCTGCCCTACCCCATACAGAAACCTGGAATCCAGACCCTCCCCTCAGTGCTCTGTGAATCCTCGTCCCTATCAAGGCTCTGGAAAGCTGACCCAGACCCCTTAGTATCTCCTGAGATGGTGGCGGGGTGAGGGCTCCTCACCTTCACCTTCTCTCCCTCATTTCTCTTCCAGCTGTTCTGATGGGGATTCAGGCTGTGGGTGAGTCTTCCCTGGGTCCCCTTCTCCTCCTTCCCCATCATCATGCCCTTTGATTCTCCCTACCACCCGACTCCACCTGAGCTCTGGAGCCCGCTGGATTCTCCCTTTCCCTCACTGGCTTCCCCAGGTGGCATCCTGGCTACCGTGGAGTAGCCCATAGGGGTCCCTCCATTAGGCTCTTCATTCTTTGTTCATTAAACCCGGGGATGCCCCCCTCCCCAATCCTCACCACCCCTTCAGAAGCCCAGGAGTCTCTTGCAGCCAGTACCCTGCCCATCACAAACCTCAAAGTGTGGTATCCCAGGGGCCCCCCTCCCCAACAGCCACACAACCCCACCCTCCTCAGCAACATGTTAGCTTCCCAGAGACTCAGACCCCCCTCAGCACCCCAGGATCTCCAACCCGTTCTTTGGACAGGGACCCAGGCATCCAGCTTCCTAGCCCCTCTCAGTTCTCCAACCCTGAACCCAAGCCCTCAGTGACTCGGCCTTTGAATTTCCCAGGCCCTGCTCCCCTCAGCGACTTAGCTTTTCTTAAGGATTCAGGTGTCTGATCTCTAAGATTCAAGTCTTCTCAGGCATCCCAGTCCCCAGTTCCTTAGCGATAAAGATTTCCAGGACTTCTACCTACCTCTTCAGCAATCCGAGTATTTAGTGCCCCCGGGCCCCCCTCCAAAGCCTAGGGATACAGCTAGGCTAGATGAGGGTCCCTCCTCATTGGGCCCCCCTCGGCAGAGCGGCTGCGCCTGGCGGGGGGCCCCCACGGCTGTGCTGGGCGGCTGGAGGTGCGGCACGGGGGGCGCTGGGGAACGGTGTGTGACGACGGCTGGGATCTGCGGGATGCTGCCGTGGCCTGCAGCGAGCTGGGCTGTGGAGGAGCTTTGGCCGCCCCCAGAGGGGCTTTCTTTGGAGAGGGCACTGGGCCGGTATGGCTGAGTGAGCTGGATTGTCGGGGGTCTGAGAGCCGGCTGAGCCTCTGTCGTCACAGGGGCTGGAAGGCACACATCTGCTCCCATGAGGAGGACGCTGGCCTCGTCTGTGTGGGTGAGAGCCCTTAGCCCCTCATGGCCCCTGCTCCTTCCTCTCCCAGTCCTCACCCTCTCCAAGAGGCAGGTATCCAAGAACTCAGGCATGGGCCCCCTAAGTGCCTAACACTGTGTGTGGGTCTAACTTCCCACCACCCTCAGGAAGCCAGGCATTGGAACTCCCAGGCCCCTTCCCACTAAGCACCAACCCCTTCCTCAAGAGCCCCAGGCTTCCTCCCATTCTTCTGAATCTGCCCACTCCTTACAGGTCAGCGGGCAACCAACTCGAGGCCAGATTCAACAGAGCCCCTGGACTGGGAGCTGTGGTCTGAGGGCTCCCCAACATCCCCAGGTGAGGCCCCAAGATCTCCCCCCCGCAGAATCTGCAGAGCCTGACACTTAAATCTCCCCTCCCCTCATTCACCCCTCCCCTAGCTGGAAACCCAACAAGCAGCCCACAGGAGGCCCCTCGGCTCCCCAAGCTGCCAAAGGCCACCCGGGCCCCTCTTCTGACTTCCAATGCTTTCCGACAGGGTGAGTGACCACCCCTGTGTGTCCCTCATAGATAGAGCTGACTCCTCCCACCCCCTCCACCCAGTCCACAGCCACTAGATGGGGTGCCATTAGGAAAATTCATGGGGTCAATGGATGCACACCTTTGCTTCTTACCTCCCCTCATTCTGCCTGCCCCAACTCCCTGGGACCTTCGTGTTCAACTCCCCCTTGCCCCTCACCCTGGGACCCACATGTCCAGTTCCAGATGTCCATCTTTCTGACTTCTGCCTCTACAAAAACCCTGGCATCTGATGTCAGCTGACTCTGTAGCCACTATGAAGCCCTTAAATGGCTACACACATGACCCATTATGTTCATTTGTCAGCCCCCCCCCAGGGACTCAGGTATCCAGGCACCTGCCCTTTGCCCCCGCTGCGTCAGGAACTGGGGGTCTGCCTCCTTAATCCCTGCTGGGTGTCCCCTGCAGAGTCAGGTGAAACCCTTGGGCCCTCGGCACCCAGAAGTAGGGCTCCCCAGAAAACGTGGCCTGCCAGGATCAGCCATCCAACCCCATGCCTGCCAGCCCCCAGTTTCCACTCTCCTCAGGGATCTGAGCCTCTGCCTCCTAGCCCCCAATCCCTCAGGGCCCCAGGCACCAGTAGGGCTTAGATGAAGGGCTGGCTCACTGGGTCCCTCTTCGGCAGAGCATCTGCGCCTGGCAGGGGGGCCCCACGGCTGTGCCGGGCGGCTGGAGGTGCGACACGGGGGCCGCTGGGGGACGGTGTGTGATGACGGCTGGGATCTCCGGGATGCTGCCGTGGCCTGCAGGGAGCTGGGCTGTGGGAGAGCCCTGGCCGCCCCCGGAGGGGCCCGCTTCGGAGAAGGGTCAGGCCCCGTTTGGATGGACGATGTGGGCTGTGGAGGTGGAGAGCAGGCCCTCCAGGACTGTCCCCGGAGCCCTTGGGGACGAAGCAACTGCGACCACACGGAGGATGCCGGACTGGTCTGTGAAGGTGATTCTCAGGGCTCCCATATCAACCCTCCCAGCGTTGCTTGCTCCTTGGCCCTGCCACTGCCCTGCTGGGGGGGGGGGTGGTCCTTAGGAGGGTCCCTTCCCTGATCTGGGTCTCAGTTTCCCCATCTGTAAAATGAGCTGCCTGGACCAGACAATGTTGAGGGGCTCTGGTTTTTATTGCCACTGCTGTATGACAGAAGTAAGGTCTATTCCAAGCTTTGATATTCCGGTCTAAGGCAAGGGGCTCACGGACGACCCCTCCCTTTACAATTTCTATAATCTCCTCTGAGCCTCGGAGGACCCATCAGACCCCTCGCCCCAGCACAGCGTCAGCCCCTCGCCTGGTGCTGCCCACCCCTGTCCTCCCTCTAACCCCACACATCATCCTCATCCTCATCCTTCCTAGTGAGCAGAGAGATAAGGGAGAAATTGGGAAACAGACCAGTGGGGTGGGTTCAAAGACATCAGAGGATCCCCTGTTCTTGATTTCATAGCCCCCTGGACCTCTCCTCCATCTCCTCGTGGTCTCTCCCCTCCCTCCACACCGACTGACTGGGATGGGAAGGGGGAGAGTAGGCAGCTGGGGCCACAGACGGACATCGGGGGGCACAGAGAGGAAACGAGTGGTGGGCTGGGACACGGAGCGTTGCTAAGCTGGGGGCTCAAGCCAGTCCCGGCTTTGGGGACAGTGAGCTGGGGACACAGAAGAGAGCAGTGCGGACTGACCCTTGCTCTTCCTTCTCCCCATATTCCAGGCCCAGCCCCCCGCTTGCGCCTGGTTGGGGGTCCCAATGGCTGTGCTGGGCGGCTGGAAGTGTGGCATGGAGGCCGCTGGGGGACGGTGTGTGACGACGGCTGGGATCTCCGGGATGCTGCCGTGGCCTGTAGAGAACTGGGCTGTGGTGGTGCCCTAGCTGCCCCTGGAGGGGCCTTCTTTGGGGAGGGGTCTGGGCCCATCCTGCTGGATGACCTACGGTGCAAGGGGAATGAGACGTCCCTGGGGTTCTGCCCAGCCCGTCCCTGGGGCCAGCACGACTGTCACCACCGAGAGGATGCAGGGGCTGTATGTGACGGTGAGACCTCCTCTCTGCCCTTACCTCCATTACCTCCACCCCAGGGTCATCTCCCTGGGCACCCCACGCACCCCACCACTGGGGCCTGCTGACCTTGCCCTGTGGCCCCCAGCTCCCCCTCAGGGAGACGTCCTGGGAAGGGCCCCCAGAGCTGGGAGGCGTTTTGGGAGGCTGCGACTCCACCCCCATCCTGAGCAGAGTGCCCACTCCACCAGGGCTGCCCGTGGGAGGGAGCTCCTCGCCTCCCTGCCTCCCCGCCTCCCCGCCTCCCCAGGCAGCACTCCACTGCTGGACAGCTCCCACTGCTGGGCCACTTCTGACCTGGTGGTCACCCTGTCTCTTCGGCAGCGCCCAGGCAGCACAGGGCTAGCCTACCTTACGTGTGACAGCACTTCGAATATTTGAAGTCAGTCAGACAGTCAACTTTCGTTGGTTTTTTTTTTTTTTTTGGTTTTGTTTTGTTTTTGTTTTTGTTTTTTGGCGAGGCAGTGGGGTTAAGTGACTTGCCCAGGGTCACCCAGCTAGTAAGTATCAAGTGACTGAGGTCAAATTTGAACTCAAGTCCTCCTGACTCCAGGGCTGGTGCTCTATCCACTACACCACCTAGCTGCCCCGGGTTTTTTTTGTTTTTTGTTTGTTTGGTTTTTTTTTTTTTTTGCAGACAGTCAACTTTTAAGTGGCTAGTATGTGCCAGCCATGGTGCTAAGCACTGGGGATAGAAGGCAAAGCAGAGTCCCTGCCTTCAGGGAGCTTACAGTCTACCATGTGCTGACAACTGTGAGCAGACAAATTAGAGAGAAGATAAATAGGAAATAATTAACAAAGGAATTCAGAGCGAGGGGTAAATTCATCCTGTAGAAACTGGAATTTTAGAAGAGACTTAAAGGAAGACAGGGAAAGCAGGAGGCAGAGATGAGGAGGGAGAGTGCTCCAGGCATGGGGGTGGCCAGAGAGGAAGCCCAGAGCCAAGAGAGGGAGGGTCTTGTTCATGGGACAGTCAGGAGGCCAGGGTCACTGGGAAGGGTATGTGAGCTGGGATAAGTGTAGGGAGGCTGGAAGGGTGGGAGAGCGGCTATGTCATGAAGGGCTTGGAACGCCAAACAGAGGATTTTGTATTTGATCCTGGACGTAATAGAGAGCCACTGGAGTTTATGGAGTAAGGGAGTGGCCTGGTCAGACCTGCACTTTTAGGAAGATCACTTTAGTGGCTAAATGGAGGATGGATTTTAGGGGGAGGGACAAGGCAGGCAGCCCACTTTGGGCTACTGCCATAGTCCAACGGGAAGTAAGGAGGGCTGCACCCAAACAGTTCTCCTTTATGTAACCTTCCACACAGCTTTCTCTTCCCTTCTCATCATACTGACTCAGAGCAAATTGAAGTTAAATGGGGCATTATGCAGTTCCTCCTATGAAACTGTGGTCCTCTATGGCCCCTAGATCTTTTCCAGATGAATAGTAGCATGTCTGTGCCTTTCTACTTTTTATTTGAGAAACTGATCTTTTGAACTCAAGGGTAAAATTGCAATTACCCCCCTTAAATTTCACCTTCTACATTTTGACTTAATGTTTGAAGCAGTCGGCAAGCTTGTAGACCCTGACTTTTAGAGACAGAGAGAGACAGAGACAGAGACACAGAGAGAGACAGAGAGACAGAGAGAGCTCCCAGCTTACTGTTATCTCCAAGTTAGATGATTTGGCATTTTTGCCCTTAATCCAGTAGGTGGTAAAAAATATTTAACAGAATCCAGCCCGTCACAGATCTCTGGGGCACTCCGCTGAACACCTCCTGCCAAGCTGACATCAAAACATTAATGGTTGCTCTGAGTTTGGCCATTCAACTAGTTCTGAACTCATCTAATTGTACAATTTCGTGATAAGATTGAGTTGGCTTTAAAATAGAGCTCTTTACTGGATGTGTGGAAAATGTAAGAAAATAAAAGTGACTCAGACAGTCCAGGGCACTAAGCCTACAAGAATAGTATGAAGTATTTGATGGAATGCTTAACTAAAGTGTAGGTTAACCATATCTCCTGGTCTACTAATAGCTGGGTCAATAAAAGAAATGGAGTGGGTCTCTTCCCCCACTGACCCTTTTCTGTCTCCATCTCTTCTCTTCCTAACCCTTCTCTCTGTCCCATCTCTTCCCCCAGGGATCTTTCTTTCTCCCCCATCTCTTCCCCCACTGACCCTTCTCTTACCCCTCACTTTCCTCTCTGCCCAGCTCTCTCCCTAGAGACTCTTCTCTTTGCCCTGAACTCTTCCTCAAAGGATCCTCCCCAAATCTCTTCCCCCCATTCACTCCACAGGAGTAGGGGAGAGGAGAAGGTGACTAAGGGCTTCAATAGTGACTCTGTCTCACTGTGCCCCTCTCCTCCCAATCCAGGTCTGCCTCTGGGCTTGCCTACTCCAGGCAGCAGCCACGAGGCCCCAGAGACTCAGACCCCCACTAGTGGGCTCTTCCCTGCCTTTCCCACGACCCTGCTGGAACCAGGCCCTGAGGAGGGTGAGTGAGAAGCCAGTCTGGCCTCTGGGGCCCCTGCTTTTCTGGGGGAGTGGATGCAGTTAACTGGCTATTGGGTGCTCCTAAGGGGTCACCAGGAGCCTGAAGACCTTGACAACTGAAAGTCTTTTGTCCCCCTTCCCCAGAGCCCTGCTCTCAGACTAGGGTGTTGCAGCTGTGTCTGGGTCAAACTGCCCAGAAAGGGTAAGGGACTGGCCCTAGGTCACTCAGAAAGCAATCCTTCATACCTCTCATTTCACATGTGAGGAAATTGAGGCCCAGAGAGAGGCAGGAACTTTCTTTGTTTATTTCTTTATTAATTTATTTTCATTTATCAAGAATCACTTCCATAAGCTTTTGAGTTTTAAATTTTTCTCTCCCTCCCTCCCCTCCTCCCTCTCCAAGATGGCACTGAATCTGATATAGGTTCTACATATACATTCCTGTTAAACATATTTTCACATTAGTCATGTTGTAAGGAAGAAGTAGAACCAATAGGAGGAAACATAAGAAAAAAGAAACAAAACAAAACAGAAGAAAAAAAAGAGCAAATAGTATGCTTCCATCTGCATTCAAACTCCATGGTTCTTTCTCTGGACATGGATAGCATTTTTACTCATGAGACCTTTGGAGATGTCTTAGATCCTTGCATTGCTGAGAAGGGCTAAGTCTGTCAATATTAGTCATCGCACAATGTGGCTGTTACTGTGTACAACGTTCTCCTGGTTCTGCTCACTTCACTCAGCATCAGTCCGTACAAGTCTTTCCAGGTTTTTCTGAAGTCAGCCTGCTCATCGTTTCTTATAGCACAATAGTATTCCATTACATTCATATACCACAACTTGTTCAGCCATTCCCCAATTGATGGGCATCCCCTCAATTTCCAATTCTTTGCCACCACAGAAAGAGCTGTTATGAATATTTTTGTACATGTGGGTCCTTTTCCCATTTGTTTGATCTCTTTAGAATACAGCCCTAGAAGTGCTATTGCTGGGTCAAAGGGTGTGCACATTTTATAGCCCTTTGGGCATAGTTCCAGATTGCTCTCCAGAATGGTTGGATCAGTTCACAACTCCACCAACAATGCATCAGTGTTCCAATCTGCAGGAACTTTTCTAAGGTCACACAAGCTACCCAAGAGATCATCTTCCTTGTCTAGGCAGGGAACTTGAGGCTCAGAGAGGGGCAATCATTAACTCGAGGCCACTCATCTAGTAAGTGGAAATCGAACCCAGGCCTGGCTTCTAGGTCATAGCACGCCACTCTTGGGCAGGCTCTATGAGTCGTGGTGCTCCCACGCTGGCCCAGAACAGGATGGTGGGAAAGAGATTCTTTAATCCAGAAATAGTGAGTCATAGGCCACTGACTTAACCAGGGAATAGGCTATTCCTCTCTCTGGGCCTCAGTTTCCCCATCTGTACAATGAGATTGAATTCGATGATTTCAAAGATCCCTTATACATCTCAATCCCATCATCATGGAAAGGGAATAGGTTGGGGGGTGGCTCTTTCACTGGGTTCTGCCCCCCCAGGCTGCTCATGACATCTGCTCTTCCCCATAGGCACCCCCCACCTTCGCCTGGTGTCTGGGCCAGGCCGGTGTGCCGGGAGGCTAGAGGTGTGGTATGGTGGTCGCTGGGGCACTGTGTGCGATGATGGCTGGGATGTGCGAGATGCCACGGTGGCCTGCCGAGAGCTGGGATGTGGTGTCCCCCGGGAGCCAGGCCCTGCCACCGGCCGCTTTGGCTGGGGGGAGGGCCCCATCTGGCTGGATGACGTGGCTTGCAGTGGGACTGAGGTCCGGCTGGCCAACTGCCCTGCAGCCCCCTGGGGGAAACACAACTGCGCCCATAATGAGGATGTGGGGGTCACCTGCACAGGTAAAGTGTCCCTGCCTGCCGTCAGCCTGACCCCCAGGGCCAGCCCTCCCCAGCCCTCCTCAGCCCTCCTAACCATCATCCAAGGGAGCTTCTTGGGGTGAGGCCGGGGGCAGGAGAAGGGGAAGAGTTCCTTCCTCTACACCTTGGCTGGGAGGGCTTCTTGGGGGCTTCTTTGGACTCGGGGGCCTCCCTTCTTGACTCAGGGAGGACTTCTAGGAAGGGGGGACCTCTTTCCCCAAATCTGGGAGGGCTTACTGAAAGAAGAGTCTCCCTTCTTAAATTGAGAAAGACTCCTTGGAAAAATTGGTGAGTTCTTCCAAAAGGGCCCCGTGAGGGAGAGAGAGGCACATGGCCCTCTGGCCAAATCCAAGAGGAACAAACCCAAGGGCCCTTCCTGGAGGGGGACTTTACGGAGAGTCGGAAGTGTAACCTTACCCACGTCTTCTCTCCCTAGGGAGTCTTGGGCCTGACTTGGTCCCAGGCCCCTTCAGCTGGAGCTGGACCCCAGAGCCACATGGGGATGGACAGGGCTGGCCACTGAGGTGGACCACTCAGAGTCCGGGGGACGTGGCCATCCAGCTGACTACTAGCAGTCCCGGAACCAGAGTGGCCAAGCCACCAGCGAGAACTCCACATACCTCCAAAAAATGGACCACAAAGAAACCACGGAAACCTCCTGTGCGACCCCCTGGACAATCAACCACTAAGGTCCCACGGAGGCAGACAACGCGGGTTCCACAAGGCCAGGCCTCCCCCAAACTGACCACACTGGCTCCCCGAGGCCAGACCCCCCAGGCCTCCCCCAAACTGACCACACAGGCTCCCCGAGGCCAGACCCCCCAGGACTCACTACTGCTGCCCACTCAGACCTCACTACCCAACATACCAATGACATCTCCAGCCAGCCCCCCACTGGCCACTCGGTCCTCACAAAGACAACCTTCCCAGGTCACCCCACAGCTAAGCACTCGAGTCCCCAAGGAAGCCACCCCAATGGATCGAGATGAGAGTTCCCCTGAGACCTCCCTAGACCCAGGCTCTTCCACGCCGGGGGCTGAGAGCAGCTGGGAGGCCTTCAAGACTTTACCCACAAGCACTCCCAAAGACTTGTCCTCCCCCCTGACCTGGCCAGGCTCTGGAGGACTGGGTAAGACTACAGCAGGTGGAGGGGCTGGTGGGCAGAAGGAAGGAGGGCAGGGGAGAGAGGCCCCGGGCAGGGGAGAGAGGCCCCCTGCCGGGCCTGAGCCCCGCTCCCGTGGCCACGGTCAGGTCCCTTTCGGCTGCGTCTCTCGGATGGGCCCGACCGGTGTGCCGGGCGGCTGGAGGTGTGGCGTGGTGACGTCTGGGGAACAGTGTGTGACGACGGCTGGGATCCCCGAGATGCGGCTGTAGCCTGCCGGGAGCTGGGCTGCGGGGGCATCCGGCCCCGTGTGGGCAAAACCTACTACGGGTCTGGGACAGGCCCGATCTGGCTGGATGATGTGGACTGTGTGGGCATTGAGGCCTCACTAGGCGACTGTCCAGCCTCACCTTGGGGGATTCACAACTGTGAGCACCAGGAGGATGTGGGGCTCACCTGCACAGGTATGAGGCAAGAAGCCTGGGCTGAGGCTGGCAAAGGGTGGGCACAGGGCTCTATGATCCCAGACAGGCCACATCACTTCCCATCCCATGATCCAAGGGGGCTCGAGAAGCAGGGAGCCCAGACCCCTTAGGCTAGTCTAGTGAGCAATGCCGGGGGGGCTGGGGCGGGGTACGAAAGCGACCTGGAGACACAGTTAGTGGACCATTATGAGGGACCAGCAGGGGACTGTGGCTTCTGCAGGAGCAGGGCCCAGGAATCTCCCGAGGCCAGTCAGGGTAGGATGAAAGATGGGGCTCTGGGTCCTCGGGCCTGAAGGCTCAGAATCTGCCCCCGTCTCTCCCCCCAGGAGACATGGAGGATGACAGTGATCTCCCCTGGGCCTGGGACACCAGTTCTCGAAGGGACACAGCCTGGGGGAGCTTCACAACAGCTGCTCCCAGCCATGACCTTGCTTCTCAGACCCTCCCGGACCGCGGAGATCCAGGTGAAGAGCAGGGCAGCTCCCAGAAATGGGAGTTGGGCACACCGGCTCGGCTTACCCCCAGGGACCCACTAGGGACCCTGTGTTGTCTGAGCCCATCCCAGCTGGGCTCCTAGTGGGCCCATAAGAACAAACCAAAGTGAGACCCCCGAGACCCCACAGGGCACGTCTGCAGGGAGCCCAGAGACCCTATACTAATGTAGCTGGGAACCTCAGGAGGCCAGGCCTCCCGGGCATCACATGAGGAAGCCTCCCCATAAGACATGGGAGATCCGTCAGTAACCCAGCACCCTCTCTGCCCGGGACCCCCGTCCCAGCATGCCCAGAGAAGAGAGGGGCAGTGAGGCTCTGAAGGGGTGGCAGCTGCTCCCCCAGCCCTCTGCCAGGCTCCCCCTCCCCCAGGGCTCCCTGGGGCGTGCCCCTCTATGTGTCCGGCCGTTTCTCTCTAACCCAGGAGTTCTGATTCAGCTCTGCCCCCCTCCCTTCAGAGCCTCCCTGTCACCTCCTCTCCTCCACTGACGGCTATCTCATGGTCGGGGCTTCTCCTTCATCTCCCTCCATCTGTCTCTGGGTCCCTCTCTCCGTCCCTCCTCCCTCCCCCTGTCTGTTTCCATCTCCCTGGTGTCTTTGTCACACACACACACACACACACACACACACCAGTGTCTCTGACACACACACATGTGCACACACATGCATGTGC